TCATTCACCCCCAAGTCACACAGCTGTGAAGTGACAGGTTCAGTCCTGCCTCCGATCAGCCTCCAGTTCCCACTCTAAACCATGATGTCTTCCCAGCCCCCAGCTATATGGACAGAAAGATTTATGCTGTGGGGGCAAACAGTCTAAACCTGGAAGATTTCAAGTGGAAGAGGAACTTCTAGCAAAAGCAGCTGGGCTTGGACGTGAAGTGCTAGGTCCGCATGGCAGGCTTCAGAGAGGCCCTGGGAGCTTCGGGCAGCCTAGGAACGTACCTTGCCTGTGACTGGGACTGAACATGCACTCACACAGGTACCGTCCAGTCAGCATTAGCTGTGTTACGAAGACTGGGACACATGGTGGGGGATGGTGGCTCACATCTGTAATCTCAGCACTTTGGAAGGCTGAGGCCAGTTGAGATCAGGAGTTCAAGACCAGACTGGTCAACATGGTGAAATCCTGTCTCTACTAAAAACACAGAAAGTAGCTGGGTGTGGTGGCAGGTGCCTGTAATCTCAGCTACTCAGGAGGCTGAGGCAGGAGAATTGCTTGCACCCAGGAGGTGGAGGTTTCGTGGAGCCAAGATTATGCCAACACTCCACCTCAAAAAAAAAAAAAAAAGACTGGGACATAGAAAACACCTGTCAAAGATGCTTGTGAAGATCCACCTGCTTCCACTTGAAGCAGGACAAGGGTCAGGCAGTGGAAATGCTCAGAGGCTCTGGGTCTGAAGTCACCTCCTCTGGGGTTGTGCAGGGCTCCCACAGGTGTGCAAAAAGGAACGGCCACCTGCTGCACACACTCCTAACCTAGGGGCTCTGGAAGAGGTGCAGACAGGCAGGGTGGGTAGGATGTGGCTTGGCCCTGTGTCAAGCGCTCCTGACTTCCATGCTGGCAGACTAGAAGGCACCTCTGGGAACCATCTGTGATGGAAAAGTTCCAACGTCAAGGAGAAAAGTGAAAGCAAGATGCTAGTTGATATTCAAAAGGCATTTCACTGTCCTTGTCCCTTGAGAAGGACTTTCTTCAAATTAGAACTTACCCCCAACTCACCCTGCAAGTACCCCCAAGTCTCGAACATCAGTTGTCTCCCAGATCAAGTTCTTTCAGTGGACGGTGCAGAGTGGGGGAATGTTTCCTCAATGCGGCCTCGGGTTAGTAGGTTAGTCTGGGAGCATTTTATCCTTTGGGAAAGGGAAAGGGTTGGGTGGCCACCAGCAACACAAAAGATGGAGTGAGGGAGGAGAGAGAGAGAGAGAGAGAAAGGAGAGAGAGAACCTGCCCTGCCCAAGCAAAGGCAGCAGCTGGGTGGTGGCTGGGGTCCCCCGGGGCCACAGAGCTCCCTCTGTCACCAATGGAGGGGATCAATTTCCCTGCTTCAAAAGACCTCTTCAAAGGCTGGATTCTTAGTGCTGGTATTCACCTGCAGCCATGGGGAGAAAAAGCGCTTCATTCATTCTCAACCACCCGCCCCCTAGACCTGGGAAACACCAAGAGGCCAGGCACTCTGCCTCCCTCCCCCGAGGCTCAGCCTGGCTCCCAGCTGTCTCTGGCGCAGCAGTCCCCGTGCTGCCTGTTGGGGTCTTTACCCCAGCCAGTACCTGGGAGGATGACCCAGGAGGTTGCCTGCTCTGTGGGCTGAGGGTCCCTGAAAGACCCAAGGCTATCCCCAGCTATTTTCCTTTGCCTGCTGAAGTGTCCCCGACTCACTTACGTGGCCTACTTCCCATGACAGCTTAGGCAGCTTAGACAGGTTAGACAGCGCCGGGAGGACGATCCCACTTGGCTCTGGTTTCCAAGCTCTCTGCTGGGGGCTGGGCAGGTGGGACCAGGGCCAGTCGGTCAGTCCCTCAATCTGCTCAGTGGCTGAGCTCAGAAGAGCTGATTAACCACAAGGCTGACAGTGTCGCTCAGAGCACTGGGCAGGGGGTGGGTTCTGCACATAATTTACCTACCACGGGTCCTTGGATGTGTCTCTGTGTAACTTCTGGCTAACACAGTGACCTTTATTTGTTTTTCTCTCAATGACTACAAACTCCTTTCTGGACAAGAAGTTACAGAAAAAGGCAAATCAACTCAATGTAAGGATAAGCATAGGTTACATGAACATGGCCTGGACTAACTTGTGAGGTCTGGACTAACTTGTGAGGTAGTGAGCTCCCCAACTCTAGAGAGTATTCAAGCAGGCCGAGCGCGGTGGCTCACCCCTGTAACCCAAGCACTTTGGATGCCAAGGCGGGCAGATCACCTGAGGTTGGGAGTTCAAGACCAGCCTGACCAACATGGTGAAACCCCGTCTATTTAAAAAAAAAAAAAAAAAAAAAAAAAAAAAAAAAAATATTCAAGCAAAGCCTGGACAAGGTCTTTTCAGAAATGTTTCAGAGGGGCTTCACATCTGCCTACTGCATGGGCTGCCAAAAGACCCAATATCTCCCCAACACAAAGGTTTAGTGATGTTGGTTGTGCCATTGTGCTCATATTCTGTAAACTCCATAGCCTCTAGGACCCAGTGAAATTCTTTGAAAAGGAAATAGAAGCAGTGAGACTATGTAAACAGAAAAAAAAAGAAAAAAGAAGAAAGAAAAAAAGACCCAAAATGGGATTATGACGGGTGGAAATGAAAATGTCTAGAAAATGCTTCCAAAGCAAAAATTCTTGAAGCAGAAATGATTTCAGCTTCCAAACTTGTACAAACAGCTGAAAACCAATAAAATTTCCACTTCTGGGATGGTGGGACAGATATTCTGTTTGGGTGTCTGTAACAAGCATCGTATGACCAGTGCCATCACATCAGGATGTTGGGGTGCCTAGGATGGTGGGGTCCCCACGCCCTTATGGAGTGCTTATGTCTTTTTGTAGGTGTGGAAGAATTAAGCTGCCTCTGAAGTTTACTGATCTCAGTTGAATCTGGAATGATGTTTAGAATCTCCAGGTCAAAAAGGAGGTTCCACCTTCCTTAGAGCCCTTCAGCTGGGCTGGGTGGGTCTAGAAATTCTTCCAAACCCAGAGCTCACTTCAGGTCGCAGATACTTATCGAAGCTGACCTTCCTGGCTGTGCCTCCCTCGGGAGGGGCCCCACAGCAACAGAGCCCACATGGTGGGGGGAAATCAGTCAGAGTGCCTGATTCCGAGGGAGAAACGAGCTCAGCTCACACGCCAACCTATGAAAATTCTTTATTGTTAATTTCTTTCTCCAACAGATATATTTTTAGTTGAAATATGAAGCCACAGCAACACTTTGACTTTTCCTCTTTAGAAGATGAGACAGGCTGGGGTCGTCATTGTTACAAGAGCAAGGCCTGTGATCGTGACAAGGACAGGCTCGGGCCGAGACCACACAGTCAACCAGGTATCGACCGCGTGCAGGCCCTTTACAGGAGCTACAGGTACAGAGAGGGGGCAGCCAGCACTGTGACCTGGAGGAGGGAGACAAGTAACTCACCTTTCCCCAGGGGCTCAGCCAGACATCCAGGCCACTGAGCTGGGAAAGTAAGTGTGTGTGCATGTATGTTTGTGCACATGGGTGTGTGCTTGCTCACACAGCACACACACACATGCTCTACCCTCCTGAGAAGATGCTCTCAGCTGCAGCTGTGTTCCCCACTGTCCTTGTTCCCTGGGGATCAGAGGCTGTCAGCTAACCAGGGCTAGGGGTGAGTGCACAGGAGGACACAGGGTCATAGCCTGATGCTCAAATCCTCCTTCAGGAACGGGCTGATGGTGCCAGAGCACACTGTGAACCACCCACCGACCATGGGGCTCTCCAGGGCTTGGTCATTTGGCTCCTGTGCACTTCATGATACTCAGGAGCCCCTGTGGCCTGAGCCCCAAGCCCTGAAAAAGGGAAAGATTTGGCTCTGAGAGGGTCCCCTTGGCTCTGGGCACCTAGGGGCCTCAGCCATCTACTAGTGTAGGGGAAGGGTAGAGGTTCCTTCCTGAGGACTGTATCTTTCTCCAGCCCCTCTCCCCAGATCCCATACGTGCAAGTGCTCCAGGGAGATAGGAGGCCCACTTCCCTCCTGGGGAGGGGTGGCAGGTGGGAAGACTTAGGGTGCCTGCAGGAACCCTAGACCTGCACCCCCACCCCACCTTCAGGACTGCCATTCTGAACTGCAATTCTGGGCTTGAGTTTGGCTGAAGGGCCAGTCTGAAGGGACTTGCTTGGTGAAGGCCCAGCCAGCCATCCCACTGGCACTTCATAAACAAACGATACTGTCCCTTCCATGGAGAGCGATCCTTCGGAAGGTAGTGGATGGTGGAGGGAACAGGTCTCAGATGAGAGAACTCCAGTGCTGGCGGGACCCACTGTGCTGGCAGCAGACAGGTGGGAGCCCGGCTGGGGTAGGTCAGGGTTGGTGTTTGGAGCTGGAAGTCTCCTGGGCCTTGTGAGCCAAGCTGGGGCTTTTACGTGGGTTCCGGGCTCCCAAGCAGGGATCTCTGCTAGATGACCTCCAGAGTCTTTTGGGGTCTCACACTGGGAACAGCTCTTCCCCTTCCAGGAGGACCCCCAAAATGAGGCCTCAGGAAGTGGGTATACAGAAGGCTGGCCAAGAGGCCAGAGCTGGGCAGCGTGTGTCTGCTGGGGCCGGCCCAGCTGGGGGCCTGGATGGTGCCTCGGCAATCCCTTTCTCACCAAGAGACGGTGGCTGCTTGCCAGCTCATGCAGGCAATGCATATAAATCCCACCTAACGTTTACCTCTAGGCCCTGGGCTGCTCGTTCAAGACGGTGCAAAGCTCCTCCGGGGCCCAGTTTCCAGCTGTGGACCCTGCTTAGGGCCCTAGGGGTCCCCTTGCTGGTAGAGGCAGGTGCACTCATTAAAGTAAATGTACTCTCCAGGTGGACCCTCAGGCCCAGAGCCAGCAGCAGATGGGGATGAATCCATGGCAACAGGAGTCACGGGTGAACCAATGGGAAACCAAACACACACACCGAAAGCCAATCAAACTCAAACACAAACCCCAATGTGAAGGCAGCAGCAAGTTCTTTGTGTAATAAATATTGCAAAGCGCACTTGGTTTCTTTTTTTTCAAGTCAAATATAACGACTAATGTCCCCAAACCCTGTTTTCTCCATTCAAGATAGGGAAGCTGGTACTATCAGCAGAACACCTGCAGCCAATCAAAGAAAAAAAACCGGTTCCCCATTAACCAGCCAATCACAGTCCCTTCCAGTTTAAGCAGCCAATCAGACCTCTTCACATTTCTAAAAAATGACCTAACTAAAGCACCAGAGCTCGGAGAGCTTCCAGGGAAGCCAGATACCGAGGCGCAAATTTTTTTTAAAAAATAAGAGTCAGAAATAAAAATAAAAGGTTTCTGTTGGTCAAGATTTAAAAATAAAAAGGTTTTCTTCCTGCAGCCAATCACAAGTCCAACCCTTTAAGCCAATCATAAACGCACCACTGGTGTCTCCCTTGATGCCAGCCCCACTGAGTAGCTGTGAGGCGGGGTGGGGCAGGGCAGGGTTGGGTAGGGGAAGGGAGAGGCGGGGCAAGGGGGTCTGCTGCCACTCAGCTGGCCCAGGAGCCACACAAATCTCTTGGCCCTCAACAGCATCCAGGGTGTTCCAAGGGCTTTGCAGCTACTGCCTCCGGTCTTCTGTCTCCGACCTGGAAAATGCCATCACCACGTCCTCTGCACCTGCAGATAAGGGAACAAGGATCGCTGATGCGACTTCCAGCATTGGCAGGACAAGCAAGGAGGCTGTGGCCAAGCTGGAGCCCTCGCCCACGAGGGTCGTGGCACTTTCTGTGGACACAGTGCTTCTGAGGAAGTCTGAAGTCTTTCTCCCCTCTGGGCTTCCCTGCAGCCTGGCTGGGGACAAAGCCTGCAACCCCGCTGCAGGGCTGCAAGGCAGGACTACCGGGGTGAGGTTCAGAGGCTTGTTCAAGGCTACATAGCTGACAGCTGAGCCATGACAAGGCCCCAGGTGACCTGGAGCAGGGCTCAGCTCTGTCCTCATCCCTTACTCCAGAGTTACCAAAGCCAGGGCAGAGACGGCCCTTGCGGAACCTCCCTTTCTTTCTTTCTTTCTTTCTTTTTTTTTTTTTTTTTGAGATGGAGTTTCGCTCTTGTTGCCCAGGCTGGAGTGCAATGGCTCGATCTCGGCCCACTGCAACCTCTGCCCTCTGGGTTCAAGCGATTCTCCTGCCTCAGCCTCCTGAGTATCTGGGATTTACAGGCCTCCACCACCACGCCTGGCTAATTTTTGTATTTTTAGTAGAGATGAAACCATGTTGGTCAGACTAGTCTCAAACTCTCAACCTCAGGTGATCGGCCTGCCTTGGCCTCCCAAAGTGCTGGGATTACAGGCGTTGAGCCATGCACTCGGCTGGGAACCTCCCTCTTTCTTTTCAGGACTCACGTCTTGATGCCTTTGGAAGGTCTGGCTCACTGTGGTTTGAAAAGCCATTCCTCTTTGCAGCAGCTTCTCCTTCACCCAAACCCAACACCTCTTCCATGGAGCATGGCCTGGCCCATGTCCAGCCTGCTGTCCCCCGGGCTCTGACTGAGACAGAGATGCCCACAATCCTTCTTTTTCTTTGGAAAAAAAAAATACACACATATATATAACTTTTTTTTTTTTTTCCCCAGAGACAGGGTTTTGCTATGTTGCCCAGGTTGGAGTGCAGTGGCTATTCATAGGCATGATCCCACTACAGATCAGCAGGGTAGTTTTGACCTGCTCTGTTTCTGACCTGGGCTGGTTCACCCCTCCTTAGTCAACCTGGTGGTCCCCTGCTCTCGGGAGGTCACCGTATTGATGCCAAACTTAGTGCGGATACCCAATTGGCATAGTGCACTACAGCCCAGAACTCCTGGACTCAAGCAATCCTCCCACCTCAGCCTCCCAAGAAGCTGGGACTGCAGGCACACGCCTGGAAATCCTTCTTTTTCCTAATCCTGAATTTGAGATTCTGGCCCAGGCACTTGTGAAATCACTTCCTTTGTCTTATTTTCCAGAGGACAGGCTCTGAGGAGTGACCGGGATAGGCAGCGAGGAGGAGGGAAAAGCTGGAAATGCCAACCTGCTGCCCACATCCACAGCTGCCTGGGGAGGAAGGGGCTGACATGGCCAGAAGGTGACCTGCAGGGCCCCACCCTGACTCCCTAACCTTGTCCTGCTGCTCTTACCTCCTTTGTAAAAGGGCAGTTCTTCACTTTGTCCCAAACAGTACTAGTCTGGCTGCCCGTGGTCTTTCTGACAGCTTGTCTGTGCTACTGCAGGCATTCTCTCCGTGAGGGGGTGGATCAGAACAGCAGAGACAGGAAAGGCCACCTGAGGGTGGGCCAGTGTGGGGAGTGCGAAGCAAGGCTCCTGGCATGTGAAATGGAGTCAGCAGTGTGAGCCGGCTGCCCACACCACAGGGGGTCTCCCCCTCAGTGGGCACATGCTGACCTCCTTCCAACTGCTCTACCAAGAGAGGGTGGATAAACCCAGCCATCGGGAAGGCCAGAGAAAGAGGGCCCAACTACAAGGATGCAATGCACAAGACACGCCTTCCACTTGGCACTAGAACATCCAGGTGCTGCTAAGGGAATGAGCCTCATAACTTCCCACCGCCAGCCCGATTTCGTGGGGTTCTGGATTTACCACCACTACCTGCATTCCTCAGAAGGGAAATAAGCATCTAGAAAGGGGTGCAAGTCATCTGGCTTCCTGAGATGGGGCTCCCTTGCTTGGGAAGCCCTAAGAATCCTTCCCCTGTCTTCTTGGGAACATTCTGTTCTTGCCTGAGCCCTAGGACCACGCAATATCACTGCAGGCAGAATTTTTCCTAGCAACTACAGAATCCAAGATTACATCATCCCCTGCATGGCAGCTGAGCTGGTTACCTAACAGATGCCGATTTTCCTGAGTGCTGCTTGCCCAGCTCACTCGCTAATCAGAAGGGGGCTGGCAGGAGGCTGTGAAAAGGGACTTGTCAGCAGAAGATACCTTAGTCGCAGTGATGGTGGCAACCTACTCGCTCCTCTCCCTGTCTGCCTTGTGGGCTTTCGCTCAGGGACCTTGGGCCTCTGTAGTGAGCTGCAGGCACAAAAATAGCACTGGCTGCCCTAGGAGGGGATGGTGTATCTACAGTGGGAATGGGCCATTGGTTCCTCGGAGGAGCCCAAACCTGGGGACCAGGACTCCTGACTCCACAGCCTGTCAAGTGTGTGTGCCTATCCTGTGCTCTGAGGGTGGGAAGTAACCTTCTCCAGGTCACACAGGGACTCTGATGGCTATTTAACAAGACACTTGAAGCAAAGGATTTGCAAGAGCCCTACCCTTCCCACATTGCCAGCTGCCACCCCCTTCCCTGGTGGCATTTATAGAGCCTCCCACTGTGCTGCTGGAGCCCTGCAGAAAGGAAAAGGCCTGTGGAGCTGCGGCCTGTCTGTGCTTTCTTCTGTTCCTTAAGGATGTTTTCCAGGCTTTACCACAAGGATCTGCTTTTCTTCGGGAGCAAAAAAAAGGCAGGCTGTCAGTTCTTCCAGAGCATTCTCTGACCTGTCCTGTCACTGGTTGGTCAGGTATTTGTCATTCAGTGAGGTCTGGCCATGAACCTGACAGGCCTCTGGCCAAGGAAACTGGTTCCCCTTTTCCTCTTCTCTATGAAATCTGGGCCAGTTACTGAATAGGGAGGGTGAGCTATTACACCGTGATCTTGATTTGAACCCTCAGAATAGGAGTTTTGGAGCCAGGAGGGACCTCAGAGGTTGAGTCCTGAGGTCTCTCCTCTGAAAGTCAGCATATGGCAGCTCCCTCAGGTACTCTTGCTGTCCTGGACGCAATACAAAGAAGGCAGCAGGCCAGCCCACTGCCTCCAGGCTGCCAGCTGGGTTTCCTATCCTGTTTTACAGATGAGGCTCTGTCTTCCCCCTTGGCACCTATGCTGACACTCTGAACTTGAGCTCAGGGCTTCTATTTGTCCCTTCCCACCAGATGTAGGTGAGCAAAGGAGGGGAGAGGTTAATCTGTTTCTCCTGTTCCAAACTCTAACACATTAGAAGATAAGGATAGCCAAAAGTGGACGACAGTATGATGAGAAAAGATAACTACAGATGAGTACCTCATATGAATATAGATGCAAACTGCCCCCCAAAATACTAGCAAACTGAATACAACATGTAAAAAGGATTCTATACCCTGACCCGGTGAGATTTATCCTAGGAATGCAAGGTTAACTTAACATCTGAAAATCAATGACTTGTAAAAGTCAACAGAATAGGCCGGGCGTGGTGGCTCAAGCCTGTAATCCCAGCACTTTGGGAGGCCGAGGCGGGTGGATCACGAGGTCAAGAGATCGAGACCATCCTGGTCAATATGGTGAAACCCCGTCTCTACTAAAAATACAAAAAAATAGCTGGGCATGGTGGCACGTGCCTGTAATCACAGCTACTCGGGAGGCTGAGGCAGGAGAATTGCTTGAACCCAGGAGGAGGAGGTTGCGGTGAGCCGAGAGCGTGCCATTGCACTCCAGCCTGGGTAACAAAAGTGAAACTCCGTCTCAAAAAACAAAAAAAACAACAACAAAAAAAGTCAACAGAATAAAGGACAAAAACCATATAGGAAAAGCAGCTGACAAAATTCAACATAATAAAACCACTCAATGAACTAGAATGGAAGAGAACATCTTCAATCTGATAAAGGCCATCTATGAAAATCCCACAGCTCTTATCATACTTAGTAGTGAAAGCTCTCCCTACCAAGATTATGAATAAGAAGAGGATGTCAGCTGGGCTCGGTGGCTCATGCCTGTAATCCCAGTACTTTGGGAGGCCGAGGCGGGCAGATCACCTGAGGTCAGGAGTTCAAGACCAGCCTGGCCAACGTGGTGAAACCTCGTCTCTACTAAAATACAAAAAATAGCTGAGCATGATGGTGGGTGCCTGTAATCCCAGCTACTGGGTGGCTGAGTAAGACTCCATCTCAAAAAAAAAAAAAAAAGAAAAGGATGTCTACTTTTTTATTCAGTATTGTCTTGAAGGTTCATTCCAGGGTAGTTAAGCAAGAAAAAGAAAAGTCATCCAGATTGGAAAAGACGAAGTAAAACTATCTCTATTTGTAGATGACACAATCTTGTATGTAGAAAATCATAAGGAATCCACTAAAAAACTTTTTTTATTTTTTGACAGAGTCTCACTCTGTCACCCAGGCTGGAGTGCAGTGGCACAATCTTGGCTCACTGCAACCTCCCCTTCCAGGCTCAAGCAATCCTCCCACCTCAACCTCCTCAGTGGCTGAGACTATAGGCACATGCCACCACATCTGGCTAATTTTTGTATTTATTGTAGAGATGGGGTTTTGCCATGTTGTCCAGGCTGGTCTTGAGCTCCTGAGCTCAAGTGATCTGCCCACCTTGGCCTCCCAAAGTGCTGGGATTATAGGCATAAGCAACTGCAACTGGCCCAGGGAAAAACCATTAGGACTAATAAACAAGTTAAAGGTACGGGATACAAGGTCAATATACAAAAATCAATTGTATTTTTATACATTAGCAATGAATAATCTGAAAGTAAAATTAAGAAAATGATTCCACTTGGGGCCGGGCGCGGTGGCTCACACCTGTAATCCCAGCACTTTGGGAGGCCAAGGCGGGCAGATCACAAGGTCAAGAGATTGAGACCATCCTGGTAACCATGGTGAAACCCCG